CCATACCATAAGTGTCGACACACACACAAGCAAGCTAGCACTCCATACCATAAGTGTCGACACAACACACAAGCAAGCTAGCACTCCATACCATAAGTGTCGACACACACACAAGCAAGCTAGCACTCCATACCATAATGTCGACACACACACACAAGCAAGCTAGCACTCCATACCATAAGTGTCGACACACACACAAGCAAGCTAACACTCCATACCATAAGTGTCGACACACACACAAGCAAGCTAGCACTCCATACCATAAGTGTCGACACACACACACAAGCAAGCTAGCACTCCATACCATAAGTGTCGACACACACACAAGCAAGCTAGCACTCCATACCATAAGTGTCGACACACACACACAAGCAAGCTAGCACTCCATACCATAAGTGTCGACACACACACAAGCAAGCTAGCACTCCATACCATAAGTGTCGACACACACACAAGCAAGCTAGCACTCCATACCATAAGTGTCGACACACACACAAGCAAGCCTGCACTCCATACCATAAGTGTCGACACACACAAGCAAGCTAGCACTCCATACCATAGGTGTCGACACACACACACACAAGCAAGCTAGCACTCCACATCATAAGCGTCGACACACAAGTAAGCCAGCACTCCACACCATAAGCGTCGACACACAAGGAAGCTAGCACTCCACACCATAAGCGTCGACACACAAGTAAGCTAGCACTCCACACCATAAGCGTCGACACACAAGGAAGCTAGCACTCCACACCATAAGCGTCGACACACAAGTAAGCCAGCACTCCACACCATAAGCGTCGACACACAAGGAAGCTAGCACTCCACACCATAAGCGTCGACACACAAGTAAGCTAGCACTCCACACCATAATTATCAACACACAAGCAAGCCAGCACTCCACACCATAAGTATCAACACACATGCAAGCTAGCACTCCACACCATAAGTGTCGACACACATGCAAGCTAGCACTCCACACCATAAGTGTCGACACACATGCAAGCTAGCACTCCACACCATAAGTGTCGACACACATGCAAGCTAGCACTCCACACCATAAGTGTCAACACACATGCAAGCTAGCACTCCACACCATAAGCGTCGACACACAAGTAAGCCAGCACTCCACACCATAAGCGTCGACACACAAGTAAGCCAGCACTCCACACCATAAGCGTCGACACACAAGTAAGCCAGCACTCCACACCATAAGCGTCGACACACAAGTAAGCCAGCACTCCACACCATAAGTGTCAACACACAAGCAAGCTAGCACTCCACACCATAAGTGTCAACACACAAGCAAGCCAGCACTCCACACCATAAGTGTCAACACACATGCAAGCTAGCACTCCACACCATAAGTATCAACACACAAGCAAGCTAGCACTCCACACCATAAGTATCAACACACAAGCAAGCTAGCACTCCACACCATAAGTGTCAACACACATGCAAGCTAGCACTCCACACCATAAGTGTCAACACACATGCAAGCTAGCACTCCACACCATAAGTATCAACACACAAGCAAGCTAGCACTCCACACCATAAGTATCAACACACAAGCAAGCTAGCACTCCACACCATAAGTATCAACACACAAGCAAGCTAGCACTCCACACCATAAGTATCAACACACAAGCAAGCTAGCACTCCACACCATAAGTATCAACACACAAGCAAGCCAGCACTCCACACCATAAGTGTCGACACACAGACACAGCAGTTGGTGGATAACATCAACCAACAAACACGGGCCGCAACACAGGAGACTACCATGTTTGTCGTCCCCATAGGAGCCAGGCTACTCATTTCTAATTTACCCAGGCACTATCATCATGTTTGTCCACAAAGCACACCACCACCATCACTACCAACAGCCTGGCTGATCACACACAGCCAGCGTAATATAATAATAATAATAATAATAATAATAATAATAATAATAATAATAATAATAATAATAATAATCTTTCTACAAGTACATGATATAACTTATACATACCATATCTGACATCAGTGACATATTATATAGAAAGTCCCTGGTTATACAGAGCATTTCCCACAACTTAGGTAAATGTTGCCCCTAGGATGCCACCCACACCCAGGTACCTACGTATTTTACTGCTAGGTGAACAGGGACAGCAGGTGCAAGGTGATTAACACCAGGGCACCTATTTACTGCTAGGTGAACAGGGACAGAGGTCTCTTAAGGAAACACGCCCTAATATTAGTTTCCACCCGTACCGGGAATCGAACGAAGGACCTCAATTTTGCGGGTTATCTGTGTAATAGTCACTACAGTTAATACCTCTTTAGCTACCTAAGTATATTTAGGCACAGGTACACATAATTATCATATATAGTGTAAATTACTCACTAGGATAACCCAAAAATGTGAAAGTTACTTATTTCCATTAGTGTCCAGTTGGGTCCTAATGTTGCTCTGTTGTCTTGGATAAATATATACCGAGTGAAACGTTGCCTCAATTAATTAGATTCTGAAATGCATTATTTCTTCTATTGTGGGAAATTATGGGGACGAGGATCACAGGTACATTCCTGAAATATTTCATCCACATAATTCGAAGGGGGTACAACGAAGCAACAATTTACTGTACTTACCAATGATGTACCTCAGAGCTGGGTAGGATTTTAGAGACACAAGGCTGCACCATGACTCCTCCGAGACCCACACACTCTTGCCCTCCCACAAACAAAGTCGGGCCTATCAAATATTACAACATAAAATTAACACCAATAATGTTGGTAAATTACAAGATATTAAGTGGACTGTATGATGGTTTGTGACTTGAAAAGAAAGGTTGGGGGGGGGATCTGTTGAGTATATAACATTCTACAAAAATATATGCATATTATGTAATGAGTACTCACCATTTAATTATTGGATCACAATTATTCTATTTATGCAACACACGCTAACGCTACCACTACGGCTAAAATTTACGATGGCCAACACAAAACTACTGTACATTATGGGTAAGCGTCACTTAGTTAAGGTGTGTTTCTAGGAAGAATCGGTGTCCTCTATTTTTCCGTTCTTGTTGCCGAAATCTAAAGGTTTTCCACACTGCTTATCCCAATTCTTCAGCGGGAACGTGTCAGCAATTTCTAAATTACGGATTAAGGCCGATATACACCTATTGAATTTTGATGACGCCTAATTACATTGCACCATTAAAGAACCAGTGTTCACACATTCAGTTTCACAATGGCGTCTTCCCTCCCGGTGTTATTCTGCGGCTGTTCCACACCCCCCCCGTCTTCCCTCCCGGTGTTATTCTGCGGCTGTTCCACACCCCCCCCGTCTTCCCTCCCGGTGTTATTCTGCGGCTGTTCCACACCCCTCCGTCTTCCCTCCCGGTGTTATTCTGCGGCTGTTCCACACCCCCCCCCGTCTTCCCTCCCGGTGTTATTCTGCGGCTGTTCCACACCCCCCGTCTTCCCTCCCGGTGTTATTCTGCGGCTGTTCCACACCCCCCCGTCTTCCCTCCCGGTGTTATTCTGCGCTGTTCCACACACCCCCCGTCTTCCCTCCCGGTGTTATTCTGCGGCTGTTCCACACCCCCCCGTCTTCCCTCCCGGTGTTTATTCTGCGGCTGTTCCACACCCCCCCGTCTTCCCTCCCGGTGTTATTCTGCGGCTGTTCCACACCCCCCCCGTCTTCCCTCCCGGTGTTATTCTGCGGCTGTTTCCACACCCCCCCGTCTTCCCTCCGGTGTTATTCTGCAGCTGTTCCCCCCCCCCGTCTTCCCTCCCGGTGTTATTCTGCGGCTGTTCCACCACCCCCCGTCTTCCCTCCCGGTGTTATTCTGCGGCTGTTCCACACCCCCCCCCCGTTTTCCCTCCCGGTGTTATTCTGCGGCTGTTCCACCCCCCCCCCCGTCTTCCCTCCCGGTGTTATTCTGCGGCTGTTCCCCCCCCCCCGTCTTCCCTCCCGGTGTTATTCTGCGGCTGTTCCACACCCCCCCGTCTTCCCTCCCGGTTTATTCTGCGGCTGTTCCACCCCCCCCCCCCCGTCTTCCCTCCCGGTGTTATTCTGCGGCTGTTCCCCCCCCCGTCTTCCCTCCCGGTGTTATTCTGCGGCTGTTCCACCCCCCCCCCCCCCCCGCCCTTCACTTAAAATTTCTCGAAGGGTTTAAACAGCATCACATTTTAATACGCAATTATATTATTCATTTATATGTTCTACCTTTAGGAAAAATCTGTAAAAACAATTTCACATCTATCTTTAGTAAGAAATCATAATCTTAATCAAATACATTGTATTATCTATCTAGGTAGATGTTCTACCATACACAAAGGTCAACAATGTACCTCCATATACAAAGGTAGACAATGTACCCCATTCACAGTCGACATTGTACCTCCATACACAAAGGTAGACAATGTACCCCCATACACAAAGGTCGACAATGTACCCCCATACACAAAGGTCAACAATGTACCCCCATTCACAAAGTCGACATTGTACCCCCATACACAAAGGTAGACACTACCTTCCCCGCCCAGCAGATAGGAGACACAACCTTCCCCATGTCTGCCACACTACCTTTCCCATATCTACACTACCTTCCCCATGTGTGTCTGCCACACTAGATTCCCCATGTCTGTCTGCCACACTACATTCCCCATGTCTGTCTACCACACTACCTTTCCCATATCTACACTACCTTCTGTCTGCCACATTACCTTTCCCATGTCTGTCTACCACATTACATTCCCCATGTCTGTCTACCACACTACCTTTCCCATATCTACACTACCTTCCCCATGTCTGTCTACCACATTACATTCCCCATGTCTGTGTGCCACACTACCTCTCCCATGTCCACACTACCTCTCCCATGTCCACACTGCCTTCCTCATGTCTGTATACCACACCACCTTCCCAATGTCCATCTGCCATTTTACTGACGAACCTCGACAGCGTATTAAGGAAGTGTACAGCCACCTTCCCTCCCTCCCCACAGGATCACCTCTGAACTCCCCAGGACTTCCCAACGGCCTGGGTTCTCCAGCCACACCTCCCAACAGCGGCTCCTCCTCCCCAGCGTCACACCACCACCAGCAACAGCAACAACAGCAGCAGCAGCAACAGCACCAACAACAGCAACACCAACACCAGCAGCTGGGTGGCCAACAGCAACAGCCGCACCAACAGCAACAGCAGCAGCAGCAGGGTCAACTCAACTGTGCCATGGGTTCCATGGGCATGGGCGTGGGCGTAGGCGGGGAAGACATGTGGCGTGGGTCGAGCATCGCCCAGCTCAGACGTAGAGCCTTCGAGCACTCAGCTTCCATGGTCGTCTTCAGGTAGATGACAATCTTCGAAGTTGATTGAGGGTGCAATAAACTAGTAAGACTCTCTCAACTCCGGAGGGGGAGGGAACGGGTGGTAATTACGTTTGATCCAAGGAATGAGAGCTTAAAGAACAAATACCGTGACTAGAACAATACACAAATAACCCGCACATAGGAGAGAGAAAGAGAGAGACGCTAACTAAACGACGTTTCGGTCCGACTTGAACCATTTACAGTCACACTGTGACTTTGTAAATGGCTCAAGTCGGACCGCAACATTCTCATAAGCTTCTCTCTCCTGTGTCCGGGTTATTTGTGTAATAAGAACTCAGTTCAAATACCTTGGAGATTAGCGGTTACGAAGAATTTTTATACATATGGAGAACTGGGAATCGATCTGGTAGCCTCGTTGACTCGCACCAGTGTTGTAACTACTAGGCTACAATTGTCACAGTCATGCCAGACCAGTGTTGTAACTACTAGGCTACAATTGTCACAGTCATGCCAGACCAGTGTTGTAACTACTAGGCTACAATTGTCACAGTCATGCCAGACCAGTGTTGTAACTACTAGGCTACAATTGTCACAATCATACCAGACCAGTGTTGTAACTACTAGGCTACAATTGTCACAGTCATGCCAGACCAGTGTTGTAACTACTAGGCTACAATTGTCACAGTCATGCCAGACCAGTGTTGTAACTACTAGGCTACAATTGTCACAATCATACCAGACCAGTGTTGTAACTACTAGGCTACAATTGTCACAGTCATGCCAGACCAGTGTTGTAACTACTAGGCTACAATTGTCACAGTCATGCCAGACCAGTGTTGTAACTACTAGGCTACAATTGTCACAATCATACCAGACCAGTGTTGTAACTACTAGGCTACAATTGTCACAGTCATGCCAGACCAGTGTTGTAACTACTAGGCTACAATTGTCACAGTCATGCCAGACCAGTGTTGTAACTACTAGGCTACAATTGTCACAATCATACCAGACCAGTGTTGTAACTACTAGGCTACAATTGTCACAGTCATGCCAGACCAGTGTTGTAACTACTAGGCTACAATTGTCACAGTCATGCCAGACCAGTGTTGTAACTACTAGGCTACAATTGTCACAGTCATGCCAGACCAGTGTTGTAACTACTAGGCTACAATTGTCACAATCATGCCAGACCAGTGTTGTAACTACTAGGCTACAATTGTCACAATCATGCCAGATCGGTGTTGTAACTACTAGGCTACAATTGTCACAATCATACCAGACCAGTGTTGTAACTACTAGGCTACAATTGTCACAATCATGCCAGATCGGTGTTGTAACTACTAGGCTATAATTGTCACAATCATACCAGACCAGTGTTGTAACTACTAGGCTACAATTGTCACAATCATGCCAGATCGGTGTTGTAACTACTAGGCTACAATTGTCACAATCATGCCAGACCAGTGTTGTAACTACTAGGTGTTGTAGCTGCTAGGATGCCACACCAGAGTTGTAACTGTACTACGAGGTGTTGTAACTGCTAGGATTCCACACCAGTGTTGTATCTGCTAGAATACAAGTGTTACTATTATACCAGACCAGTGTTCCAATATTATTATTATTATTATTATTATTATTATTATTATTATTATTATAGATAAGCACTAAATCCGCAGGGGGTCATACAGCGCCTGAGAAACGGGAGATTATCAGGTTTGATAGGAATAAAGTACCTCAAAATCCTAGTATCAAGAACCCTTCCCCAGCGCCTCCCCACAAGACTACAACCCAAACAAATCTCAATTAATAATTTACCTTCCAGTAGCCTAGCAGCTAGGCAAGTCGCAGCTGTTTACAAAGTAACTCCCAGTAACCCAGTAGCTACAACGTAAGAATTTGTCATTTGCTTTATATATATATATATATATATATATATATATATATATATATATATATATATATATATATATATATATATATATATATATATATATATATATATATATATATATATATATATATGTCGTGCCGAATAGGCAGAACTTGCGATCTTGGCTTAAATATCAACGTTCGTCTTGCCATATAGGACAAGTGAAAATTTGTGTATGCAATAATTTCGCCAAAATCATTCTGAACCTAACGAAAAAATTATATTTCACTGTGTTTGTTTCGTATTAAATTACTGTAATCAAATCTAAAATATATTTAGTTGGGTTAGGCTAAAATAAATTGTTCTTTTTATAATAAGGTTAGGTAAGTTTTCTAAGATTCTTTTGGTGCAAAATTAAATTTTTTTTCATTAACATTAATGAAAAAAATATATCTTTAAACGTATAACAGAAAAATTTAGAAAGGACTTAATTTTAAATGAGTTATTGCTAATTGACCAGTTTTACATATTCGGCACGACATTATAATATATATATATATATATATATATATATATATATATATATATATATATATATATATATATATATATATAATGCAGTAGGATCAAAGTGAACAGGTGATATTACAATATGCAAAACAACCACTGTGAAAAATAGGTGTTAGCGGCACACACAACACATGTAACGCAAGATGACCCATATAATAAAGCCAAACATTGTCATATATTTTCACAGAGGCTCCTGTAATGACACTCGGCCCTTTATTTCCATTGAGATCCCTTTGTTTCCATCAGGATCCCGTTATTTCCAATGGGGTCTCAAAGTGCAGCTAACAGATCGATTCCCGGAACATTTTACCCAAATGAACCATTTTCCAGATAGTGGTGAAACTCACTTCAATACCCTCCCCTCCCCTCACAATTCGTGTTACGAACAGATTTAAACTTCTTCAAAACACGAATTTTGTCACCAGCTACCAATGTATGGATATACGGATGATTGCAATGCAACGATTGCAATCTTGTATATAAAAAAAAAAACAGATAACGAAGGTATAATGTATATTTTACTGCTGTCGAAGGTTCCACACTGATACATCTTCGGTAAGTTGAAACTACTAGCAAAGACAGGGACTAGCTAGGAAACGAACTAAGATATCACCCTAGAAGTTTACACATGAATGGTAAACAACACCGACTAGATGAAGAATTAGACACACGTGCAACAAGCCACTGGATGAGTGAAACGTCTACAAATAAAGATACCCAGATGTTGCACATGTGTCTAATTCTAGTTGGCGTTGTTACGTTAGTCTGCCCTCACACGAGCTATGTTTTCTCTGAAGACCAGCTAGTGTATATACAGCCAGGTTGTATATCTCCTAGTGTATATACATTGAGGGGTATATGTCCTAGTGTATATACATTGAGGTAGTGTATCTCCTACTGTATGTACACTGAGGTAGTGTATTTCCTAGTGTATGTACACCGAGGTGTATATCTTTTAGTGTATTTACACCCAGGTGTGCATTTTCTAGTGTATACACAGTGAGGTAGTGTATGTACAGCGAGGTAGTGCATCTCCTAGTGTAGATACATCCAAATGTATATCTCCTAGTGTAGATACATCCAAATGTATATCTCCTAGTGTAGATACATCCAAATGTATATCTCCTAGTGTAGATACATCCAAATGTGTATCTCCTAGTGTAGATACATCCAAATGTATATCTCCTAGTGTATATGCAGTCAAGAATCTCCTAGCGTATATACACCTAGGTATCTCCAAGTGTATATACATCTAGGTATCTTCTAGCGTATATACAGCCAGGTGTGTATCTCCCAGGTATGTATCTTCTAGCGTACATACAGCTAGGTGTGTATATCCTAGCGTTTATACACTCCCCATTTCAGAGACCGAAGTATACTTAATGACCCACGATAACAGTCTTGAACTCTAACAGCCATCATCAACGACCCTGTCACTCTTATCTACAATATTAGAAAATACACTGGCCATACAGAATATTACGTGGAATATCAGAAAATACACCAACCATACAGAATATTAGGTAGATATTAGAAAATACACCAGCCATACAATGGAAAATACACCATTGGTGAGGGAATATTGTCTCATTTTAGATTTAGACTTTGCATATTTTGTAACATAAGAGTTTTCCAGTATGTTGTGTAGAGATATACCAAGATATACACGTGTGTGTGTATATATATGTGTGTGTATGTGTGTATGGAGGGGAGGGGGGGAGGGGGGTCAGTAAGGGCAGTGTATTAGTTCGAGCTGCTTCATCCCACATGTATACGATAAAACTGTAGTCCAGTGTGAGCTATAAAACACGTTTCAGGCAACGTGAGAGGTTTCAGACATGTTTCAGGCAACGTGCGAGGCTTGAGACACGTTTCATGCAACGTGCGAGGCTTGGGACACGTTTCAGGCAACGTACGAAGCTTGAGACACGTTTCAGGCAACGTACGAGGCTTGGGTCACGTTTCAGGCAACGTACGAGGCTTGGGACACGTTTCAGGCAACGTGCGAGACCTGTGGCACGTCTCAGGCAACGTGCGAGGCTTGATCTATAAGACGTCTCGGGAAACGCGCCGCGAGACTAAACACAAGACGTCTGAGGCAAGGTGCGAGACGCAGCCCAAGTGCGTGAGTCTCAACTAGCCAATGGGAGAGCCTGTGAGGCCCCCGGGCCCCGCCAGATACCATCTGAGACATCTTAACAGCCTCCACAAAATAGCCATTTCATGTACTCTGACAGCAATGTTTTGTAGACTCATTTAGAAGCCTGTTAATTGTGCAATTTTTGAGTGTTACTCTTCTTAGCTTCAGGTGTATGTATAGTTTCCCCTGAGGATCATCGTGCGTAGCCTCCCCAAAAAAGATTTAAAGCCAGGATGTTGACATATCATAATAATATAGACGTGGTAGCCATATTTAGATCTATTTCAGCTGGCCATTTGTGATAGACAGTTCTATGTTTGTACTCTATGTTGTCTATTGTGAGCATTGTAAATAAAGCAACAGTAATACCCCATAAATTTTATTAACCTTAAGTATTTTATTACTGATGTGATATACCTATCCACAATACTACCTATACACAATATTACCTATAAACAATACTACCTATACACAATATTATCTATACACAATACTACCTATACACAATACTACCTATACACAATATTACCTATATACAATACTACCTATACACAATACTACCTATACACAATACTACCTATACACAATATTACCTATATACAATACTACCTATACACAATACTACCTTACACAATACTACTATACACAATATTACCTATATACAATACTACCCATACACAATACTACCTATACACAATACTACCTATACACAATATTACCTATACACAATACTACCTATATACAATACTACCTATACACAATACTACCTATACACAATACTACCTATACACAATACTACCTATACACAATATTATCTATACACAATACTACCTATACACAATATTACCTATATACAATACTACCTATACAAAATATTATCTATACACAATACTACCTATACACAATATTACCTATATACAATACTACCTATACACAATACTACCTATACACAATACTACCTATACACAACCTAAACAATTGTTCTTAACATCTCAATAAAAAAACACAGCGTACAACATGGGCGAAATATAAAAAAAAATAATCCATATAGATAATTTTTTCACTG